TCGTTAGCACTTCTTGCACTGGCATGCTACATCCAATTGGGTACACTTACTATTCTGCAGAATCCATCAAGTAGAACTCAGTCTGCCTCTCCATGAGCTGTTCCCTCGCGGGATCACTCCATATTGACTGGATGGCGATTCCAATCTGGGGATCGATATGTGCTTGGGGGCCAGATTCGGCTGTGTATTCCATGAGGAAGGTGGCATACGCCTTGTTCTCTTCGATTACCGGTTCGATATCGAATTGTCGCATAGCCTGGATCACCGCTTTTGCGCATTCCACCAGGTTCTTGAACACGGTGGGGCGGTAGTTATACAGTTCATCTTCGGAGTAGCCTTTCAGATGGATAATCTTCATCTGCTTCACTATCGTGGATTTACCACTTTCTCCGGATCCTGCATGGTTGTCAGCAAGCTAGGTCCGTCTCAAGATCCTGTAGGAATGGACTCTGGTATCGAAACCTACCGAGGAGAAGAATCTTGCATTCCCGGCGTAACCTCTTCGAGTCCTCTTCCAGCTGTCGATCGATTGCCTGACTCTTCTTTTTCTGTTCCACCTCCTCGTTGTTTGAGCTCATACAGGCACCCATTTTTGAAAGAGGCCGGGGCTTCGGTTGAGCCGCTGATGGGAGTAATGATGGGATTTGGGTGCGTTAAATGTTCGAGTGCAGGGCTCAAGGAGCCTTCGAAATGATTTAACCGCGCGTGAGATCCCGAATGGATGCACGTTAAATGCCCATAGTAGTATCAGATAAGGCTGACGAGGTGAGAATTAATGGCGAGACTGAGACGGATCGCAGGGCGTTGTCGTCGATTGGTAGTGATGATCGTTCGGTCGGCGGAGGACTCGGCGGTAACGTAGGCGTTTCGGATCAAAAGGCTTCGAGAGAGGACGCAGCGACGGCTAGGATCGAAAGCGAGAGCGGTAAGTTGTTATGATTGTTTTTCGGACGGACTGAGGATGGACGGATGATGAGCGACGACCCTGAAGATCGGGGATGGGCGGGAGCTGTCGAGGGAGATGGGTAGCGAAGGACGGAAGACGAGAGTGCGACCGGGAAGGCGGGCAAGGACAGTGTCGGAGGAATAAATGTGGGTATCACCAGGACCTCGACAGGCGGGCGGGTAAGTGCAATTGAGTACGGGCCCAAGCTAAGGTAAGCACCAATGTACCTTTGGTACCGAGAGCGACACCTTTGGGTACCTTTGGGAGTACCTTGGCAGCGAAGGAGCGTGCCGTGTGAGAGGTGCCCCCGGGTGGGTGGGTATAAGGTATGGCAATATGGGGAGGAGGCCTGGAGACCTGAGCCTTGTAAGACTGAGATCAGAGAGAGACGGTAGTTTGGGAATGGAAGGTGATGACAGCGACGTAGACCGTAGACAGCCTGGGTGTGACAAGAAAGCGCGTTCGGCCCAGGGAATCAATCAATGAGAGAAGAGATCAGGCCGTACTGGCGGTTCGGATCTGATCTGTCAAGTGACGAAGGGGAGTGAACTGTGAGGGAGATCGGAAAAAGAAAAGCTGGACGGAAGACTGGAAACTGAGTTGGAGGGGAGGCGAGGGCCAGTGAGGAGAGCAGGTGTGGGTAAAAGGAAAAGGAATTCTGTTGTGCGGGAAAGTGTAAAGTTGATGCTAGTGGCGGGCAGGCTGGACTCGTGGAGTTGCGAGAAGCAGCGGTCTCGATGACCAGGTACCTCTGCACTGGAATTTACGGATACGGATACCTCTGCCGCTACCTCTGACCTCACGATGTACTTAAGGCACTGACTGCAAGAAGTGAGAGTGAGAGGACCAGAGCCAGAGAGGGACGGGGAGAAATGGGCGAGGCAAGGCACACACACACACACGTCCCCCAATCCCATACGCAGTCAGCTCAGACAATCAGACCTGGGATCCATTCAGCCCAGACACCAACCACCCGCCCTCCCTTCCCGTCGGGGTCCCTCGATCCTCAGTGCTCACTCCTCAGGTGCGGCATGGGTGACAGGGACACGTTCCCAGCGCAGACTTACGGAGTAGGTGAGTGGTGCAGCAGGCCCTAGCAAAGTTGGCAAGGCAAGGCCAGGGCGGCGGGGCGCGGGTGCGCGTGTGGTGTATGGATCGGGATACCTAGGTACCTCAAGGATATATGGGCCATGTCTCTTGTGCTGTGAGTGAGTGTGTCTGTGAGAATATGAATGTGGGAGAGAGGATGGAGAGATTGTATGTGTGTGTGTGTGTGTATGTGTGTGGACGGGGCGGACTCGGCCTATGCCATCCGCGGACAGCTTCTTCAATTGACCTGGACAGGTCTTGGCCTGCCGGAGGGGGAACAGGCCGAGCAGGGAGTTGCCGGGAGAGGTATGCAGTGCTGATGGTGTATAGACAGAGACGTGCGAGGTTGCGGCGTGTGGCGGGAGGAGAACAGACAGGTACGGATGTACCTAAGGCAATGTAGTTAGGTACATAGTTGCCCACGTCCTTTGCTCGGCTTTTTGAAGCACAGTTGAACGCCAGTTGACTGCTTCTGGGCGGATGTATTTGAGGTGAATGGAGGCATCTGCCACTTGTGACTTGATGGTGGACGGGATGTTTGGGACTAGCACATGGCACAGGTTGAACAAGCTTGAAAACCTTCGGGTGCAAGGCACGAGCTGCTGATGATGGGCCAGGGCTTCGAGGTTCGGGGAGTTGAGGGTGATAAGGAACACCTTGCTCGAACGGCAGGCGTAAATATCTCGAGTGGCTTATCATCGTGAGAACAAGGCAGGTTATCACGCCTGTGGAGTGTGGACAAGTTCTCGAGAGTTGACACGGGCTTTCCTTCAATCTACCTCATAAGGCAGGTGAAGTAAGCTAATCTTAGGTAAGCATGAGAAGATACTTGGCAAGTGGTTGAGGCAGGTACCTAGGGACTTGCAGTCTCAGGTTGCTGCTATTGGGGCAAGAGCAGAGCAGAGGAAAGAGCGGGCAGGAGCTCTCCTTCTCGACTTGAGTAACAGCCTAGGTACTACTGGCGGTAGCACTAAGGACAGACCAGCGGGCAGCTCCACTCATTTTAGTCTCTTCCCTCTGCCGCATGCATGGCATTTAAATCACTTTCATTGGGCGCACACCCTGGTTGACCCCGGTCAAGTCAAGCTCTCACAGATATTTACGGCTCACGGTACGTACCGATTTCTCATCTCTCCAGGCATTTCGGGATATTTTCTGCTCCTTGTTGTTCTTGCCAATCCCGGCTGAACTGGCGCTTATTCTCATCCCTTTTGATCAATTGTGATTATTTGACATCTCCTCCAGGCGGCCCCCGATCGTGCGTAATATGTGAGGCAGCCGGGCTTAGCAGTAATGGGGTCATTGGGGAGGGCCTAAGGTTTATACGACATAGAATAAGGCATCAGGCAATCGGAGACTTGGAAGAAAATGATGAAGCAATTGGAAATTGGAAATTTGAGCAAGGGGCAGCTTGTCCATCTAAGCTGAGGCACGGCATGGCATACGCTATTACCAGGAGTGCCTACGGATACAGATATAGCAAAAGGCAAAGTGCAAAGTTTAATGGGCCATGCTCCTGGCCTCAACCTTTTTTGAATCAAGGTCCACGTGCGTGCCTCTCATCCCACCACGTCTTGGTCTTGGTCTTGGTCTTGCACTTGGGCTTTGCAGTAGGTACCAGGCACTCTGCAAATTGAGCCTGCACCAAGTGTCCGTCCATCCGACAACGCGAGTCCATCAGACAAGGTTCCGCCTCTGAGAAGGGCATCCTCGTTGCGCAATACAACAGAAAAATTTCATCCTCAAATCAAATTGCTGTCACCCTTACCGCCCCATGGTTCGCACTTGCAATGGAACACCTCATGCTTTCAGGCGGCTCCCGAATCTTCTGCTACTGCCTCAGTGCCTATGGACCGAAGGAGAAGGTATTGCCCTCTCTTCTCACTTTCCCATTCCCGCCCGACCCGATCGGTATCTGCACCCGGATGTAGTCTCCTGCCACAATCCAGATTACCGGAACCTGCACTTTCTTTGCCTTACTTTGTGTGTCCGTCAACTAGTGAGGTAGGCACTATTGTAGATCACACGTCTTGAATCCTGCTGCATTCTTCTCTCGAGCTCAGAATTCTCTTGTTTGAATTGACTGTTCCCGTGCTCTTTTTTTCAATGGTTCAGTCTGCCCCGAACAATTAATATTTATTTCTCTCCGGATGACTTCCGCTCGCTCTTTCTCTCTCACTCTCTCTCTCCACACCATTCCCCAACAGAAGCGGGAGATGCTATAAGCTTCAAAGTACGGACGGATACGGATCTTGATATTGTCTAGACCTTCCTTATATGTTTTTGGGCGCCGAGAAATTCGGCCCATCCTGGAAAGTCACGCAGGATTCAGCCGCGCCCGGCAACGCGTCTCCGCATCCGGCAGCCCCAGACGCTGTCGACGAGCGAGCGCCGTCTTTTGCAGACTGAACGGAAGAGGGGGCTAGGCAATGGAACAAGTGTTTCAGTCATCACTCCCGAGTAATGACCCTCCACCGCCCCCAGTCTGATCCCGACCCGCGTGCCCGCCAACATTTCGAGAAGTTGGTTTGTCGATAGAACATCCCTTCGCTGCACCATTGGACAATTGGTATTGGATGAAGTTACCGCTTCACTACAAAAACAAACAGGGAACAGTCCCATCCGCAAGTTCGCAACATGCGATGCAAATGCCGACTTTTTCTTTGTGGACTTTCCGTAGCGACTTGGCGAACCCCGGCATGAAGCTTCACGGCTCAGCAATGATCGATCTCCTTCTTTCTGGCTGCAACGAATCCTCAAGCCTCAACCTGAGGGGGGCTAAGAGCAAATGACCGCCATCAATGACGAGCCAAGTGGCATTCAGTCATTTAATCCCGAAGCTATAGTTTGAGCAGAAAAGACGGATAACCTCTACCCGCCGACTAGGCGTCTGTGGCGTGAGTCCGGGCTTCTTTTTTGCCAGTTGACTGTGCAGATCTACTCATCCAGCATCGGCTGGCTTGCCATGTACGGGTTGATCCTCAACTACATACCAACTGCTTCGGTCACCGCCCCGCATCACACCGAGGAATGCAACCCATCTCGCTCACGAGTCACAAATGTACATAGGCGAGGCGGAACCTGGAAGCTGCACGCGGCCAGAACGTCGGCGATGCTACGGTTACGATGCGCTTGCGAGCGCAAATACAACAGGTCACAAACCTTCTGTCATCGTTTGACCGGTTTCCCGTCTAGTTGCCCTGCGGACTACTGGCCACGTTCCAACGTCGCAGTGTTCCACCATGCCAGGACTCGGCAACTCAATTGCTCGACAAGCCATAGACCTCACCCCCTCGATCCTCCCAAACGACTTTCAAAGAGACGGTTTTCCGGCCCTAACTGTCTGCTGTTACACGGTGCCCAGACTCTCCTCATGAAGCACTGGGGCAGGGGTATATGAATAGCACGGCAATTGACCATATCCAAGTCGGACGCACAGAATTCGGACCACGAAAACCTTATACACGCTTTGGGCACTTTCGTCGCTGCTCGAATTCCAGCCTGGCTGCAGCCCCATTCTGGCTCTTGGCGCTTCTCACCTCAATATGAGGCTGCACCTTCGCCTTGGAAGTTGGAGGCCATCAAGCCGCAGGTCACCATTTGTGCCTCAATCCCACATGATGAGGCTACCAGCTACCGGTTGTACGAGGTTGCACGAGAAGTTCTAAGTTGGGACCCTCTGAACTACGCCAATGTCTGATCCTCTTTCTCTCAACGCCAGTCTAGTCCCTTGACAGAGGAAAGGATTTTAATACCGACATAAGCTTAATGGCCGACTACGCTCCTGTGTCGTGACGGCATTTCACATTTCACGGCAACTCTGCCGTATGAGTTCTCCAGGCTGTTTTCGTGTCAAGCCCGACCAAATACCTCTCAAGCGTTGCAGGGGCATCGGCCGCTTGCCTTGATGACAGGACAACCCTGGTCTCACTCACGCTTTCGTCAGAAAATCGACCCTGATTGGGCTCAAGATGAGTATCCTCTGAGCGCCTTGCCCAATCGGCTAGCGTCAATGGCCTGGCGGTTCACAGGCCCTTTGGAACAGATATTAGCAGGGAGCACACGTGGGAGAAGGAGGCATCAAGTCTCATCTTCTCTGACCAGTTTGAAGGGCCAGACACACAGACATGGGTCATTCACCAAACAACCAAACGGTCCGGCTCGCCATTGAGCACCTGTGTGATTGATGCTCAACAGTGAGTAGACCTTGCTTTCACAATTTCGAGGTCGTCGGATCTTAAATGCGAGGCCAGAGCTACTTCCAGCTATTCCACGTGCGTCGTTGCTCTCGGCCGGCCAGGGCAGTAATTCTCAAGCGCCGTAATCATATTTGAAAACGGATTCGGGGGCGCGCGCCATGCCATTGAGGCGGCACGACTGAAGGGCTGTCTGATAAGATCTTCATCCGAGCAAGCCTTACACCTGAATACTTTCGTCAGCGATATGTATACTCTCATCAGAATCCCCTGCCAGACTTTCTTATCAGCTTTCTGAAGCAGACAAGGCCCGATGCACGTCGACTTAGGTGGACGCCGTGCCTTTCGCCGGCGCATGTCCAGCTTTCATGCCTCTGCTCGGCGCTCAGCCGGCTGGTCTGCTGTTTTAGCCAGGCACTTCAGCCCGGGATGCTGAACATTCTCCGATGAAGTTTTTCAAAGTCCGACTTGGCGACAACGGCCCACTCTTTGACCAGCAAGTTATACAAACCTCTCAACAGCAGTTGGGAAATGGACCCCAAACGTGGCCAATTGAAATTGGCAATGCGGTCGAGGTGTTCGTTCTGGCTCCATGGGCAATGAAAACGGCCGAAGATGAATAATGCTGTACCCAAAATCGCCATATACACCTCGGCGATATCGTTAGAAAGACCTGTTTCATGATATCCGGGACCAGTATGTTCTCCGTGTGTTCAAACAGGGGCATTCTCGGCTTCTGGAAGCTGCGTCGAAATGTTTACTAGCATCTTAACAAAAGTGTATGGGTGGTGAGTTGATCGGATAGTGCCCTCGGTCGTCTTAGGGTCGACCCTTCAAAAGCTTGCCGGTGTTGGCCAACATCTAACATCCGGACTCCGACGGACAACAGCTCTGGTTGTTCTGGAATATCTTCAGCCAAGCCGGCAAGTTCAGGCGAATGGCCTTCCCGACTTCATTGGCAACGTGTCCCACACGTTAAACAGTCGAAAAAGGGTGTGCTGGGCTTTTCCGTGGGTGTCCTGATTGTTTCACGTCATCTCATGAGGAGCCCCCTATATCCCTGAGTAATGTTTTTTGCCCACATCACGGAGTTCTGACTCTGTTTTTTTGTTTTATTCCATTCTGATCGCATTCTGCCGTTGAGGAGTCGAGAAACTTTTTTGTTCTATTCAGGTGATGAGATCTTTTTTTCAACTCTGGGACGAACGGAGGACTGCAAGGCGCATGATTCGCTGCCCCCCCGGAATCTTCGCAACGTCGGTCCCTTTTTTGCATAGAAAAACATCGGGTTGTGGAGGGGTTCGGTGAAGCGGCAGGAAAGAAAAGAAAGGTTATCGCCTTTTTCGGGTTCGTGAAATGGAAAGTTGTGTGTGTGGTAACATGGCCGACGATTCGGTCAAGCTTCTTTTCCTTCTTTGCCACGTGCTTTAGGGGAACATTGATCCTGGGATGTGTTGCCCTGCGGGTTCGAAACAAAGTTTTGCGCGGGTTTTCTCGAAAAGGAACATGTAAGCCGCGAATTCGATGCTTCCTTGTCTTTTTGTCGTTCCTTGTCGTTTTGCTCTTTCTTCAGGACGTGAGTGTGCGTCTCTAGACACAGAGACGTCGTCCTGAGTGTGAAATTGACTACTTTGAATTGATAGGGTAGCTGAGTATCCTGGATAGAGCATAATCTGGGATAGGTATTGGTACAGAATAGTTGGAAACCTAGCAGCAGTGTTGGGGCGGCGTTGGGATGTTGGAAAGTCGACCGGAGAGATTGGTTATTCGGGCAGTTTATATGAAAATTGTCCGTAGTCCGGGGGCGGGTTCGTCAGCAACAAAGCTGTTCGGCATGCGGGTTGGTTGTCCGGACCATTCGTCCGGGGCGCGGCCGAACAGAGGCCCCATATTTTCCGGGTGTGTAGTGATACGTGAGCCACGACGTGGCGCGTCATACGATGTACCCAATATCCTTTTCGGCATGGGGGAGAGGGAGGGAGGATTTGTGAGGTGTTTCTGGGGGTTATTTCCAAGCGTGACAAAGCTGACTATAATTTAGAAGATGACGAGATCACTCGGTTGTAGTCATCTACCGCGCGCGGGAGGTTTTTTTGCAAGAAGGGGATCAGCAGAAATGAGGATTTGGGATTGGTGATGATTACATGAGCAGGAACTATGCTCGCGAGAGAATGTTGATGTTTTTTTTTCTCTTTCGGCTCGCGAGCTTGGTCGCGGCAGGGGGCTCCAGAGCAGCTTCCATGGATGGTGTCGAGGAGACTGGTGATTGCATCATGTGCGAAGGGAATGATCACGCCTGGAAGCGTGCCTTAGCAGCATCGAAGCGAGGGTACAGATAGACACGAGGAGTATTCAAGTGATGTTGAACACTCTGACAGACTCTTGCTGCGGGAAGAATGATAAATAGCAGTACATCCTCAATTATATCCTTTACTGTATCATTCTCGAGATCATCAAACAGAAACATCAATCACAACCATAGACCAAGGCCAATAATTTCAGAAGGAATATCAAAGATACGACGTCTTGAACACCACAAAGTCATCATGATTGCCTCGAAGCCCATCGTTCTCTACGGCCACAGTATGTTTTGGAACTTGACATTTCCATCTTACCCCATGAGTCTGGGATAGGTAGATACTAATGTCTCTTTATCGCAGGTTACACCCCCAACCCGTCAAAGGTGGTCATGATCCTCGAGGAGCTCAAGATCCCATACGAACATGTACTGTCTCCCCCCCCCCCCCCTTCCTCTCTCTCTCTCTCTCTCTCTCACTCAGAGTATTCCACCGTTCTAGTACACCGAACTCTCCCTAAAATCAAACAAATCGGCCATGATGATCGGAAGAAGCATCCTTTACAAGACCACTATACACTATCCACACTCATTTTCTGACCTGAAGTGCTTTCACTTTAGATCATCATCGACCTCGCCGTCGTCAAGGAAGAACCCTACCTCTCCATCAACCCAAACGGCCGCCTCCCGGCCATCAAAGACCCCAACACGGGCATCACGCTCTGGGAGTCAGGCGCCATTGTCGAGTACCTCGTCGAAACGTACGACGACGCCGGCGCGCTGTCCCTCGCGTCGCGAGAGGACAAGTTCCTCTTGAAGCAGTGGTTGCATTTCCAGGTGTCGGGACAGGTGTGTTCTGATTCCCTCAGCTCCCTTATATCAACTTGAATGCGTCGTTCGTTTTACTATTACGATAGCCACCTCCCTTTCTTGTGATTTACCATTCATTTGTGTCTTCAAGCAGACAATGATGGTCAAGTCCCAAAATGGCGACGAATAGCTCACCGTGTCCTTACCCGTCTAGGGCCCGTACTTTGGCCAGCTCGGCTGGTTCAAGCTTTTCCACCCCGAAGACGTCCCCAGCGCAAAGGAGCGGTACGAAGAGCAGACCGTCCGTGTCTTCTCCGTCCTCGATCGCGCTCTCAAGGGGAAGAAGTATCTCGTCGGAGACAAAGCGTACGTTGTTGATACTTGATAGAGAAGATTCCGACCGGACCCTGCTCCCCTTTCCCAGTCGCCATTGAATCCGGCTCCATCACCCCCTTTTCCTATCTGCAGATCTGCTCTTTGCTATGAATAGCAACTTCGACCCAGAAATCCACTTTCCCCAGCAAAGAGTCCACTATTTCTACCCATCTAGAGCTCCTCCCATGATTCTGCGCATTGAAACTAACGATGATGGGGCTGTGTGCTTTGTAGGACCTACGCCGACATCTCCTTCATGCCGTGGGACTACCTCGCCAGAAAACTCATCGGCGAAGGGTGGACCGATAAGTGGGAGGTCGACACCAAGTATCCCGACTACGCCGCCTGGGCCGAGAGAATCCGCGCCCGGCCCGTGGTGAAGAATGTGCTGGAGACTATGGGAAAACAGAGGGCTGCTGAGGAGGAGCAGGCTAAAGCTCAGGAGTGAGTGACGGAGTCAGGCCAGGCCAGAGTCCATAGGAGTTGGCTACATGTTCGTGTGTTGTTCTCACACGGAAAGTCAATAATTGGATTGTCCAGTAGAGAACCCCCATATGATATTGTCTTTTTTATGTGAATATGTGCAAATAAAAAACGGCGATCTTGGGTAAACAGTTCACCATTCTCCTCCGGCCTCTCCGTCCCTTCTCACGAGAAGTGGAAATACTAGAGCCCATGATAATAGGAGGGTCAAGAAGCAAAAATCTAGTCCTCCCAGATGGCAACTTTGGCCTTCTCGGCGTCCTCCAGCCGGCGCTTTTCAGCAGCCTTCTCTTCCTCCCTACGTTTCCGCTCCTTCTCCTTGACAGCCTTGTCGTAGGCCCTCTGCTCCTCCGTCATCCGGGGCACCTTTACGCCCAGGGCGCTAGCAATCATGCGACGGGCCACGGCATCTGTCTTTTCTGGCCTGGGGCGTGATGAGGCGGCGTCCTGGCCACTACTACCGCCACCCGAGGACGCGCCGGCACCAGCAACGGAATCAACGCTGCCGTAGGGGTTGGGGAAGGACCTGTCTGCGGCGTTGTAGGTTGGTGAGATGGGGGTCGGCGGCGGAGCCTTGGCGCCGTCGCTTTGGGGCTTCACGGCCTCCTCCTCTTCTTCATCGTCGTCCTCGTCTACGTCCTCATCTTCCCAAGAGTCTGCCACTGGTGCTTTGGTCTTTTTGGTGGATGGTGTCTTTTTGCTGCTGTTTATTGAGAGCTTGGAGAGCGATGACGTGACGTCTGACTTTTGACTTGAGGAAGGCATAATGGCGATGTGTATAGATGGGGAGATATTAAAGAAGTAGGAGAAGAGATATATATATATATATATGTGTGTGTGAGAGAGAGTGAAGGCAGAGCGTTGCTTGAGATGGAAAGGAGGTTGAGATGGCCAGGAACCCGGGTGCGGTTCCGTCGGGAAGCGAGGTAAAGAGTGGGTAAAGTTCCGGGTAGCAGGGAAGGTCGATCGGTGGACGACGGGGTGGAGGTGTTTGGACGACGCCGATGAAGGATCAACAAGGTGAGGGTGCAGCTTGCAGCTGGAGTGATGCTGTAGGAGACCTGAGAGAGATCCTCCGAGATAAGTGTGAGAAGGCCAAGGGTTGATGAATATATGGCCAAGTTTCTGTGCGATGTGAAGCTTCGGGAAGAAAACAGGATGGAAGAAAGGAGGAAGATAGTGTCCGTAGCAGGAAAACAAGTTCTTGTAAACAGGTTGATGTAACTGGAAGTGGCCTCGGCTCCTTTCAGGTGTGCGAACGGACTGCTGTTAGACGGGCACGACGGGATGGCGGGACGTGGATGGGCTGGTTGTGCTTGGAACCCTTTCCCATTGTGGGGTTGGGTTGACCCCTTCCCCGCAGCGAGTCAGAGGAACGGGAGTCTGGAAGGCACTCACGGCACTGTGGCAGGCAATCTGGGAGATGTACTCTTCATCGTTGTACATGACAACATAAAGCCAGCTCGAGTTAATATCACGGTAAGCAGGTGACTAGACACAATGCGTATGCTTTCATGTAAGCCAGTAAGTGTCGGAATGTGCGGGTTGTAATTATAAGAAAGTGATGTGCTTCGTACGGAGTGACGGATAGCTGCGGCAGCAACCACCGCCGTGTCTCCCTAAGGTACACGCAGGTAGGTACTCCATCCGCCAGCCACTTCAATCTGTGGGGGGACGTCGTTCTGGAGCACCATCCTTAGGTAAGCCGCCCCGCCGGCAAACGGGGCCGATGTTCTTCCTGGTTCCAGAGCCAACTCCCGCCTCCGCTGCGCGCTGAGTGGCCAGGCACGGGCGGCAACGTCAGTGCTCATTGATTTTTTTGGTGATGTCGTTTACTTTCTAGTCTCCCCCCCGACTGTCTCCATAATAGCTAGAAAGCCTACTCAACTCACCTACACTTTGTATTTGTAAGGCGTCAGGAGGCGATGCGCATCGCGATTTAGGACTCGGAGTCCTTTTCACCACCCTTCTGCACAAATACACACACCTACAACCCTTCCAATTGCATTCACCATCTCTTTTGTTTTGCCAATCATTCAACCGATACAGCGGCACATCCTAATTCGCCCTCGGCCCTGTATTACCCGATCACCACGTGCCGCGACCGGAGCTTCTTCCAAGTTGACTGGCAAACCCTCCCCCAAGTGCCGCCAACATGGTGATGCGATCGAGCTTCCCCAGGCGCCTGGCCCTCGGACGCTCGGCAAACTACCTCAGAAACCCCTACGCAGCCTCGAGTAGCAGGTTACCCGCAGCGAGTACTCCGAGGTGCTCCGCATCCGCCTTCGACCGCCTTCTCCTCACCACCCGCCCGTCCCAGCGAGCCATCGCCCCGTTTTCAACGTCAACACGATGGCTAAAGGAGGAAGATAACAGCTTCTTTGACCGTGCCGTCGAGCCCCTGTCCGAGGAGGAACAAAAGGCGAACCTGAAGCACCAGCGCGAGCTTGAGGAGAAGGAGCTTGCCGAGGCCAAGAGCTCTAACTCCGAGTCATCCGCCAAAGGCGAGGGCTCTGGAGCCGCACAAGATGGCAAGGCCGGTAGCGCGACCGGTGGCTCATCAGCGGGATCCGGCGGTAGCGGAGGCGACGACAAGGGCGACGGCAGCGGCAGACGCGGACGCAGAGCCTCTGACAAGAGCCTGCAGAAGCCCGTTGTGCCCGACGTATACCCCCAAGTCCTGGCTATTCCGATTGCGAAGCGGCCACTGTTCCCCGGCTTCTACAAGGCCATTACCATCAAGGATCCGAACGTCGCCGCGGCCATCACCGAGATGATTAAGAGAGGCCAGCCGTACGTCGGTGCCTTCTTGTTCAAGGACGAAAACCAAGACGAGGACGTTATCCGCAATGTCGATGACGTCTACGATACCGGTGTTTTTGCGCAGATCACGAGTGCGTTCCCCATGCATGGGGAGCAGGGCGCCCTGACGGCTATCCTCTACCCTCACCGCCGTATCCGCCTTTCGAGCTTGCTGCCACCGGGAACGGAGGACAAGAAGCCGAGCGAAGCCAAGGTGGAGCCGGTGCCCGAGCCGATACCCTCGAAGCCCACCGATGAGGAGGCTCAACAAGAGAAGAAGGGCGATGTCGTTGCCAGCTTCGAGGAGAGTGCTGTGGCCCCCAAGGCCGACCAGGCGGCGGAGAAGTACGAGCCCACGGCGTTCCTCAAGAGATACCCCGTCAGTCTCGTCAACGTGGAGAACTTGACCGAGGAGCCCTACGACCCCAAGAGCGCTGTTATCCGTGCCGTGACCAACGAGATCGTCAATGTGTTCAAGGAAGTCGCCACGATGAATAGCCTTTTCCGTGACCAGATCTCGACATTCTCCATGAGCCAGTCCACAGGCAACGTAACGTCCGAGCCGGCCAAGCTGGCAGATTTCGCCGCCGCCGTGTCTTCTGGCGAGCAGGGCGAGCTGCAAGAGGTCCTGTCGAGTCTCAACGTGGAGGAGAGAATGCAAAAGGCGCTGATCGTCTTGAAGAAGGAGCTCATGAACGCGCAGCTCCAGTCAAAGATCACCAAGGACGTTGAGAGTAAGATTACTAAGCGTCAGCGGGAGTACTGGTTGATGGAGCAGATGAAGGGCATCCGTCGCGAACTGGGACTCGAGTCTGACGGCAAGGACAAGCTGGTTGAGAAGTTCAAGGAGAAGGCCAACAATCTGGCCATGCCCGAGGCTGTACGCAAGGTGTTCGATGACGAGATCAATAAGCTTGCCCACCTCGAGCCCGCAGCGTCCGAGTTCAATGTCACGCGAAACTACCTGGACTGGCTTACGCAGATCCCCTGGGGCCAGCGCAGCGCGGAGAACTTTGGCATTCAAAACGCCATGACGGTCTTAGATGAGGATCATTACGGGCTCAAGGATGTCAAGGATCGTATCTTGGAATTCATTGCTGTAGGCAAGCTCCGTGGAACGGTCGAGGGCAAGATCATCTGCTTCGTCGGTCCTCCCGGTGTCGGAAAGACGTCCATCGGCAAGTCCATTGCCCGCGCCCTGAACCGCCAGTACTACCGATTCAGCGTCGGTGGTCTGACGGACGTGGCTGAAATCAAGGGTCACCGCAGAACCTACGTCGGTGCCCTGCCCGGCCGCATCATCCAGGCGCTCAAGAAGTGTCAGACCGAGAACCCCTTGATTCTCATTGACGAGATCGACAAGATTGGCCGTGGCTACCAAGGCGACCCCTCATCGGCTCTGCTTGAGCTTCTCGACCCGGAGCAGAACAGCTCCTTCCTGGACCACTATATGGACGTCCCCGTCGACCTGTCTAAGGTGCTCTTTGTCTGCACCGCCAACATGACGGACACCATCCCGCGACCCCTCCTCGATCGCATGGAGCTCATCCAGCTGTCGGGCTACGTCGCCGACGAGAAGAAGGCCATCGCTGATAAGTACCTCGCCCCGGCCGCCCGTGAAGCCGCAGGCCTGGCCAACGCCGACGTCACGCTCAGCGAGGAGGCTATCGAGGAGCTCATCAAGTCGTACGCCCGCGAGTCCGGCGTCCGCAACCTCAAGAAGCAGATTGAAAAGGTCTACCGGAAATCCGCCCTCAAGATCGTTCAGGACCTCGGCGAGGAGGTGCTCCCCGAGAAGGAGGCCCTGACCGAGGACGGCAAGGAGGCACTCGAGGCGTCGGAGAAGAAGGCGGAGGAGGCGCGCGAGACGGGCGAGCAGCCGGCCGAAACGCCGACCGCCGAGAAGCCCCGCGTCGCCCTCAACGTCCCCGACACGGTGCACGTTACCATTGGCAAGGAGAACCTCGTCGACTACGTCGGCCCTCCCGTCTTCACCTCGGACCGCCTCTACGAGGTCAACCCCGCCGGCGTGGCCATGGGTCTCGCGTGGACCCAAATGGGCGGCGCCGCCATGTACATCGAGTCCATCCTCCAGGCGCCCCTGCGGCCGAGCAGCCGCCCCGGGCTCGAGATCACGGGTAACCTCAAGAACGTCATGAAGGAGTCGACGACTATTGCATACTCGTTTGCAAAGTCCCTCATGGTCAGGGACTTCCCTGACAATCACTTCTTCGACAAGGCCAGGCTGCACCTGCACGTCCCCGATGGTGCCGTCTCCAAGGATGGCCCCTCGGCCGGTATCACCATGGCCACTTCGCTCCTCTCCCTCGCCCTCGATACCCCCGTCAACCCCACCGTCGCCATGACGGGTGAGCTCACGCTTACCGGCAAGGTCCTCCGCATCGGCGGGCTGCGCGAGAAGACGGTCGCCGCGCGCCGCGCCGGCTGCAAGATGATCATCTTCCCCAAGGACTGCATGTCCGACTGGCTCGAGCTCCCAGAGGTACGTCCTATCACAACAACCACTACCACGTACAATTGGACTGTACAAGATCAATGCTGACACATTACTACAGAACATCAAGGAGGGCATCGAGGGCAAGCCCGTGGCATGGTACTCTGACGTCTTTGACCTCATCTTCCCGGAGCTCGACCGCGAGGCCGCCAACAAGTGCAAGACGTGCGAGTGGAAAAAGGACCAGGACGACAAGAAGAAGAAGGACAAGAAGAAGAAGAAGAGGGACGACTCTGACGATGAGGACGACGACTAGATGCATCACCACCACCACCACCAACCACTGCCCCCTCCTCCCTGAGGGGGTGAAGAGCAAAGAAAGAAAAATCTACAAACAGATTTCACGACATTGTTCACCAGCGATAGATGGTTTCCAAATCCATTGACACATCCAGTCCCCCCCTTCCCGACTGGGATGATCCGTCGTAACCCGCGCCTCAACCCCCAAATCCTCAACGCCCTGTGGGGGCTACAGACGCGTTGAAAAGAACGATTCTGGCAAGGTAAAGATTGCCAATCGGCAGACGAGGGCGGATGACAGACCGGGTGGACTGTCTATTGAGAAAGGAAAAGCCAAAGCCGGACGATTAGACGAACTCGCATAAAAATGTCACGGCAAATCAACATCATCAACAACCACACACACAAATACACACAACTCCCTCCTCTCGATGCTGCATCTCTACTCTAGATGGTTCTTTTTTCTATTTTAATTGTTTGGCTGGTTGCCGTTTTCAGGCGGTGTTGTCTGAAGAAACAACCGGACTCGGCTTTGTAAGACTAGGGTTGCAGCGACACCCAATTGCATAGGATGTTTAGATTGCACAGCAGTCAGTCTCGCGCATAGGTAGTGGCGGCTGTGTGAAGGAATAGCAGGGCGCGCGATGCTTGCATAGGGTACGGTAGCTAGCTTTCGGGACAGGCCAGAGTAAGCGAATTCTTGTATATTACCAATACCTGTTGTGAGCCGTCCGTCGCAAGGCACTCGGCGAACAGCCACATAACGAAGCTTGTTTCCTCCCCAAAGGGTACGTCGCGCCATGAGTTACAGTTCGTTAGTGCCAGCATTGCCCCTTCGATTGGTTTTCCGATGAGCGGGGGGTGTGGTGACCTCCCGCTGATGCCGTTCGAGGCGAGCAGCAACGTGTGGAGCGGTAGCCAAGGGAGGAGAGGACCAGCTTACCGGAAACGCTGTCGCTTGCAGATGCGGCCGACCTGGCCACCGTGTATGTAGTATGTACGTCAACGGCCGCAGCGATGGTGCTGGTGAGACGGCGGTGCCGCGCATTTCGGTTGCCAATCGCGATAGGCCGTTGTAGCCTCGGGGGTATCGAACGGTGGAGCGTACGTCTCCGTGCTGCCGGAGTGCAGGTCACAAGTCTTCGCGTTTGTGATATATGATGAAGGTTACAGTACGATATAGAACCGAGTCATGGTGACATGTTCTGTGTGCCTGATTGTGGCCCAATCTGTAGCAGCTAGAGGCTCCGACGACGTCGACATCGAATGCCGTCCAGATTGGTGACAACGATTCTAGCTCCCTTTTAGCATTTCGATTTGACACCGAGGTGGGGTGGGTTCTTCTGGGTTGCTCAGGGTCTGACCCGGTGTGCCACGCCCATCCGTCCACGCGGGATCGGTGGGGTTCGCGGGAAGACATCCAGACTGGCTGGGATGTGTGAGTGCCAAAAGGGCAAACAACACGACCCTTGTATTGCGTTCTGCCCTTTCTTCTCGCCACCGATCATCGATCATTCATCTCTAAAGCCGGCTTCTCAGTGCACCGGACACGGGAGATCTCCAGGTCGGTTGAGATGCGGCGCTTGACAAGGCATGGCTATGCCTGCTCCTGGCGCTTGGAGTAGCGAACAGGATGGCGGGCGAGGTTGCAACGACCAGAGCGTCAGCATCCGGGCTTCTAGGAGCTCCTGGGTAGTTACCCAAAGAGAGCATATCGCAGGCATGCGTCTGTACAGTTGAACACCTTGATGTCAGCGTGCGCTTGACTAGAGATACAAGCCGTCCCGTAGGACACTTTGCCAGCCTGTCAACAACAAGACAGCCTCATCATTTGGGCTGCGTCGATGCCTAAATGCACGTAGCGTGTGAAAGACGCACCCCTGACCTGGCCGCTGATGTTAGCCAACAGACAGTGCAGATACCCGAGGCCATCCGACACTTTTATTGTTATGGTCTCCGTAAGCTCCCTTCAGACGCATCAACGGTCCCGAGATAGGCCGCCGTAGTTGATTTGTCTTCCTCAGGTTTGAATTCTTGATGAGATGGTGGTCCTGCAACCGACTTCTACAGGGTCATGCTGAATGACGCCGGGACAGTCCGCTCGTTCGTCCACCTTTGCATGCGCCGCATTGCTATGCTGCGGTTCCATCGTCTGTGGTAGTCACACTTCATGTCGTGCCACATTGCAAGTAGTAGAGGTAGTGTCAGGCAGTGGAGGTTGAAAGCATGTCCAGCATGGTTGATTGGTAATGTGCTGGCCTCCAGACTACGAATGAACATGCTGGGTCGTGCAGCAGACGGCTTTGACGCAGAGGAGAGACGAGCACGTGGGTAAGTCGTCCTTATTTCTCAATGCTTCGAGGGGTATGGTCCGACGACGCAGTTCGACGCAATAAAACGGAGATGATGCATCAATTGCGAGATTGCGCAATGATGAAATCTTTGGCGCAGGTCGGTAGGCGAAGAGCTTCACATTGAGCTGACGTCCCTTGGACATAGCGGGTCAAAAAAGCTCCGTGTGACCCATTGACTTTCAATAGATGTAGCGTATAGAAGCCTTGCTCTGGTAATAGTTTTCGGATCCGGCCTGTTGCCGTCTTGGAGTTGAGCAATCTTTGCCTTGCACGGCCGAGACTTGAGTCTGGTAATCACCAGGTTGTTGAGCCGGAAGCGACGAGTGCAGAAAAGCGAAATCGGCCAGACACCCCTGATCAGATCTGTAGCAAGATAGACAGTCCTTGAGCGATTGACTCATCAATTTACCAAGGGAAGGAAGCATCTCGGGGGTCCATTATGACATGCCCTCCTTGGCCCTGGCCTTAGCGGCAGCGATCCTATCGAAAGTGCTGGGCGTATCTGATCTTGATCTGGTGGCAGTGGCCGTACCCATGAATGCCATAGTATTCCCCTATATCAAGTTGTGGGTCGAACATGGAAAGCAAAGGGCGGTCAATGGACGGATGATTGAATGTGAGGCCAATTGATTGAGGGATCTGGAAAACTGCAGTCCCTGGTGACGATGTGGATGTTTGCAGGTTTGAATGAAAGGGCTTGATGCGAGCCCAACGAACCCAACGCCCACAGAATAACAAGTCGGGACCCAATCGCCAGAGGAGGGCTGGATTCGGAGGTCATCGTACATGAAACGAGATGCGCTAAGAGGAGCGGCACGGGGAAGAGTTCGTGAAGGAGGGCGGCCTCGGGCTGCAGCTGAGTTGTCGTTCTGGGTCCCGCGGTCCCGGTCTCAGCTCGCCTCGACGCTGGCTGTGGATGAGATGATTTTGGGGTGAGGTATGTACAGAAGAAAGGGATGAAGTGACGATGATGGAAGAAGGATGGACAGCAAAATGGTGTGCTCCCTGCCTTGGCGAGAGGCCAGGGACTATGGAAGGTTCACGACGCACCTGAACCAACACCACTTGGAAGGCATGGAGATCCATCCTGAACCGGCACGTTTTCCAACGGCAGAGAAAGCCCCCCTTAACTTCTAAGCCCCTGAAGTAAGTCTCGTCAGCTCCAAATCAACGGCGTTTAACGCCCAAGTGGAAATATCGGGACAGCCAGCGCATCAGAGTAGGGAAAGTCCCACCCGCCTCTTCCAGAAATGGCCAAGCTTCCCCGCCAGGCGTGCCCTCCCGCCTTAGTAGCGCAACCGTCCATCTCGAGTCTGGGAAGGTACTTACCAACTAAGGTACCTACCTACCTGTCCTTCCTCAAGGTAAGTCACCGGACGTATCTTTCCTTCCATCTAAGCATCACATTCCAGAAACTTTGAGGAAAGACCCAACTACCATATCTCAGACAAGAAAAAGGGGCAAGAATAACGGTGGTAAGCATCCACCGTTCGATTCGCAATGTTCATCTTTGCAGTTGAGAAAGGTACCGCCTTGAGGTAAGGTAACTGGGAAAGTAAGGTACGAAATACCTTACGAGCGTGCATTGTTGGTGGGTTGTCACTCAGTTACAATATCAAGCGCCTTAGCGTCCGCTCATAGGCACTTTCCCGTCAGCCATTGACATTCTAGAGTCTTCACTGTCACTGGCCACGTCTTTTTCTTCTCCCCATGAATTCCCTTCTCTCAATGTGCCCTCCTAGTGACCTCGTTCCTTCAAGGGGCACATACCTTATTCGTACCGTACGTACATACTTTCGAGTACTTGATGGTATCTAAAGAGCGCCACTAGAACTCCCGCTCCTTCACCTGGTATTTCTATTGGCACGGGAGCTTGACGAGGCCTCACCCGGTGCCCAGCCTCCCAGCCCCTCGTTAAAGTCGCAGCAAACCAGAAACACGACCTGGTGGGGACCCAATATTGCCCTCGCAGCGGTCCTGCTCACTTTCACGCGCTTCTCCTGCATGCGCTTGCACTACTCTGGATATGGTACATTACAGCTCCTCTTTGCAGATTCGACTTCGTACCTTGCACAGTACCGTCCCGTAAAAGAGAGAGAGAGAAAAAGGAAAACAGCAAAAGACGCAACCGCTGAACGACCCCACGACCTTCATTGTGTCCACGGCAACCGTCAACGGTGCCCCTCCCCCTCTTCCTCTTCTCGGAAGCCCCCGGTCATCTTCTTGCCGCCCGATTTCCATACAAATCATCCAAAGTCCAACGTTCGCCTCATCTCACCAAGCCTACGTGCTCGCCAACCACCACCACCACCACACCAACACTGCCGCCGCCCAGCAGCTCACGACGCACGTCCGGTCAACGCGAACCCAGCCATACATATCCACACCCCGACTTCGACGGCATACGTCCACCCATCCAACATCCTCGTCAATCAATACATATTTCTCCCGTTCGCCTATCTGTCCCTACGCCTACGTCGTCCTCCGTCATCCTACCCTTTCTGACGCTACTTGCCTATTTGTACATCCTTTATCATCCCAGCCGCAGAGCGATCAAACGCAGCTCTCCTCCCGCAGGCTACGCTGCCACCCCGCCTTGGCCTACACGAATCACATCGCTCGCCAAAGTCATCACCTTCATCGCTGAGGAAATAAGACGAAGCAAAGCACATGCAGACGTGCGGATGTGAGACGACGTATTGCCGCCCTCATCTGTACAGCTGCCATCCAAAGTAAGCCCATCCGAGCTTGTTCTGTGCTTCGGACTCGCCAAAAACTCTCTTTCGAACAGCCCCGGACGAAAGAAACACGTGCGCCGCATCTAGCTTCTGCCTACGGACACACGCACACCGAGTAATTATCGACAGCCTCTTGACTTGGGGGTTTGAGATTCTTCCAAAAGCCCGTCGAGTATCGGTCAATCCCTCGGCCCCCGCCACCGTCATTCTCGTCTGAACATGGTCATCTTCGCCCTTGCTTCTCTGCACGTTTCCATCCTATCTCGTCACAGCGTCTGATGTCCCATCTTGCCTACGGTTGCCTGCATCTACTCCGTCACGCTCGAACTGCAATTTCAACGTCCACAAAAGACGCCCGCCGTCATTCTTGTCTCGCGTTCCCCGCGCCCAGACACATCCCAGCCGCTGCCAGCCCAATTTAGCTCCGACCTGGCACCAAGCCCGGTCAAAACCAGGCTTGAGGTTGACCGTCTTTCGCTTCAAGGCTCATCCTTGTCACCCGCCTGGTTCGCTCCCGGACCAGGTTTGCGGGACTATCCATAATTAACACCTCGTCCCCAGAACCACACCGCTTAGAGCCTCACCTCACACCGTCAGCGTCCTGATCGGCTCACCTTGACGACCTCCAAAGTCCAATCGCGTTGGCAAGCTGTACATCTCCCTCAGCTCATCATGGCGCAGCCAAACATGTCTTCTGCGGAACCGCCGCCTTCATCGGGTCATCAGTCCACCAGCTTTCTTCGTAAACTCTTCGGACGAAACAATGCGGCCCCGGCATCCGTCGGCCCGCTCCAAACCAAGGAGCCCGAGCCCGAACCCGAGCTTGACCCCGACTCCGATGACCAGCAAAGTACTGGTCTGGTGCGTCGAGTCTCGAGAAAAGTCGTGCCCGGACTTCCTCGCGTGCAGACCTTCAAACGCCAACAGTCGGAGCGCAGGAACAACCTCGCACCAGTTGAACCCTCTCCGGCAGAGAGGCGTGCTCTATCAGTGGACAGGCGCGTGCAATCGTCACGTACGGCGTCACAGACTCAGTCTTTTCCCCGAGCTAGTGCACCGGACTTTTTCGAAAATGCGTACGAGGTCCAGTCTGCCCCATCTGCCCCCGTCAGCCCTGTCGAGGAAAAGGCCGAAGTCAGTCTTGGTCAGATGGTATCCCAAATTGCAGCAGAACCCACGACAGACGAATCTCATGCGCACGAGGTTCAATCTAATTCGGACGCCCACTCAGTAACGACATCTCAATCTCACTACGAGGCTATGATTCACGATGAGCTCGAAAATGTTTGGATTCTCAACCTCAGCATGCACTTCCGGGATAAGTCCAAGAGAGAGAAGTTTTTCGTCACATACCGAGAAACTCCAACCCACTGGCGTAGAGTAACCATATCTCTTGACTATCGCAATGCCCCGGATAACTCTCTCGAGATGGACTTGCTCCACACCAAGTCTCAACGTGACAAAAGTTCCAAGATCTACGAAGCCATCAGAGATAGTCTGCAGGACATACAATTTTACCCATCAGTCACCAACCTGAAACTCCAAACCACGGAAGGCCGCCTTCATGTACATGTGGTTGAAGATGTCAATGTGAGTTGATGTGCTCTGAGGGAAATCGGTCAGTGCTAATATCCAACAGGAAATCATTCAGTACCCTACCTTCCGCCAAGTCCAGCACTTGGGATGTCGCAGGGTCAGAGAAAAGGACATTGTCTTCGACTCTCACATGTCCGGCTTTGTCTACAAGGTGTCTGTAGGAGGAGAGGTACTCATCAAGAAAGAGATCCCAGGCCCCGACACCATAGACGAGTTCCTCTACGAGATCAACGCCCTGAACCGGCTCCGGTATTCAAGGAACATTATCCGGTTCTATGGTGTCGTGGTTGATGATGAAGATGAGCACGTCAAGGGACTGCTCATTAGCTACGCCGTTCATGGTGCGCTTATTGATGTTATTTATGATAACAAGCAGGACTCAGAATTAGGTCTGCCCTGGCCGATTCGTGAGAAGTGGGCACGCCAAATTGTACAGGGCTTGGCGGATATTCACGAATCTGGCTTTGTGCAGGGCGATTTCACTCTCTCAAACATAGTCATTGATGATGACGATGATGCCAAAATTATTGACATTAACAGAAGGGGCTGCCCAGTGGGCTGGGAGCCTCCTGAAGCAACGCCTCTTATCGAAAGTAACCAGCGCATTTCCATGTACATTGGCGTCAAATCCGACCTTTATCAACTGGGCATGGTCTTGTGGGCATTGGCAGCACAGGATGATGAGCCCGAGGCCCAAGGACGACCGTTACAGCTCGGAGACGAATACGTTGTTCCAGATTGGTATCGGCAAATTGTAGACATTTGCCTGAGCGAAGATCCGCGCCTTCGGTTGCAAGCCTCGTCTCTCATGTCCCTCTTTCCAGAACCCGCGGATGGAGACGACATGGCACCCCCGTCAATCTCGGTAGACGACGGCTATACCATGCAGGAATACTTCGTGGATGGCAACCATGGCTACGCCAGGGTCAAGACCGTTCAGCCAGCTCACGACTGGTCGTATGTAAACTTGGGCCAACCCTATGTTGACGAACCGACGAGGGGCTTCTCACAGGACCCGTACTACTACACCAGAGGCCGCTCTCCCCCAAGCCCACTGCCAAGTCATTATGGGCCTTGCGACTCGCCTAACATGGGACGTAATGTCTCCAGCTGGGCTGAAGCTAGAAATATTGCACCATCGTACAGCGATATTGGGGCAGACGAGGTCTACGATCAAAAGAGCGCAACACCGACAACAAGCAAGGACTCCGTCGTTACGCCCGAGCCATTGGAAGAGACAAGCAAGTCAGTCCGACAAAAGCTGGAAGCATTGCAGTGGACTCCCCTATCCAGTGATCTCGCCGCCCTCGATCGGGCCGAACTCGACCATACGCCAGGACAAGATGGCAAGAGACTCATTGGAGAAGGCTTAGTCGACACGTTACGGAGTCACAAGCTAGAGGCAACTGCTACCGTCGATCCCATTGAGACACGACCTGCGATGGCCAGTCCTATGACGATCAAGGATATCGAAACAGAGGGGAAAGATGTAGAGGAAGAGGAGGTGAACGTGAGAGAATCTGAAGGAACGCAAGAGAGTTCCCCAAACGGAAAAGGAACAGTAGGGCAATCAGCGCCCGGACAAACGGGGGAAACAGAACCCGAAGAACTGAACAGAAACGGGCAACATGTTGTCACGATAGCGGACTCGACAGAAAAGGGGCCAGCTGTGGACGACCTGAAAGTCGCCGAAATTGAGTTCGAAACCAATGCCGCTCAAACGGCCAGACCAGGGCTCAAGTCTACAAAGCAAGAGGCGGCAGCGGCGGAGTCACCTACAACTACTACTCAAATACCCACGACAGACAACCCCACGGAAGCTCAAGGGGCAGATTCGCCAGAACTCAAAGGGGTTGGCGCGGCACATATCAACACTGATGAGCAGACGATGCGAGAGAAGACATCCCTTGATGATGACTTCGCAACGGCGACAACAGCAACGACGACAGATGCCCGGAGATGATATGATGTAAGACTAGCAGCGGGGGAAACTGAAGGCGATTTTGCATAGGCGCAGGTTGATTGTCGAGGCATCGGGAGGCGCCACTTCTTCTTTTCCTTTGCTTGATGATGGTACTGCCGGCATACGAATCAAGTTGGTGGTCACAATGTTTGATTTTTTTGCGGCATAGCCTTGGTGTAAAGGTCCGGGAAACACTGTACGTGAAATAGAAGACGACTTTTGGTCAACCTCGATCCTTACCAAGACTCGGAACGTGAACCGACTTGCATTGTGGGATATTGTGAAATCGAAAAATCGTGGGATCGAAAGCAGAGCTCTGGCTGTGCATACCAAAGTTGGGCGAGAAATAAGGCCGTGTGTGCGTAAACGACTTTGCAGCTCAAGTAAGTGGTTTGTCCAAAGTGAGAAACCCGATGATAAGATGGATCGCCCTTCCATCAGCCATATACAAGCAAGCGGCCGGTGATTTCTTTCCGTTCGAGAGGTGGTGGCCGTTGACTACGGTGTAGATCCAAGGTCAGTGTAAGTCATGTACGTGGGATGTGTAGGTGCTCCAAGAGTCCAGAGGCCTTCTGCGGTGGATTTGCCACTGCTTTGGCAGTCTTTTCAAGGAAGAACTGCCTAGATACTAATATACGTCTGAGAAAAGTAGCTAGTCTGGATTTCGAAAAGACCAGGGCGGTTGTGTGTAGATATGCTGATCCCCTTTTCCCGAGTTTCCTGAAGTGTCGATAAAGGTAGGTGGGTGACAAGGGCGTCAAAGCTGGGCAAGCAAGCAAGCTCAAAGAGGGAGCATGGAGCTTGAGTCGCCTCACACAACTCAGGTGCGGCTAAGAATATTAAGGTACGGATAGAGAGCTCTGGGCAGCAGCTGCTGCAAAGAAGGATGGGACGAAAGTGAAGGAGTGCCAGAAGTGCATCTCTCTTGCTCTGGTGGTGACGGGGGGATTGGCAGGGCGGATCGGGTGTGGCGTTGGCCAAGTGCGAGGGGGTGCGCCCCGCCAGATCGGGTTAGCATAGAAACATTCCAGAATAGGTCAGCCCAACTAGCTGAAGATTTGGAAGACAAGGCCCTGGAGTCCCCTTTTGCGACTGTACTGCGTACACTGCAAATGACCATCGCCGACCTTGAATGTTCAAGTGTACGTATGATTGTGAGAAAACACGTGACCCTTGCCACCGCTGTAAAGGGAGCATCGAGAATGCGCATGGCAAAAAGATGGTTCGCCAGATAGCCACGGGCAGACAACCTCGGGACGATAGCGAGGCAAAGACAACTTTCATCCCTGTTGTGTCCTGCAGCACTGGGGCGGAGGATTGCGGGGCAGGGTCCTGTTTCTGTTGGGGATGGGCCGGGATGCCGGAGTGGGATGAGCGGATGTCGTCTTTCTCTTTAACGAGATCACCGGGGAACGCGAAATCAAGGGCCGGACTGGGTGTGTTGCGAAACTATGGACCTGGGACCTGGAGTTGCCGAGGATGCTTTTGGCACACCGAAATCGAACTGGCTCGTGGGTTTCATCGGGTGTTCTCTCGCCGCTGACCGAGAATGTTCGGGAGAGTGACCGTGAAGAAAAGTGGGTGAGAGGCAGTTGGCGTAATCTTGAGTTGGACGATGTGGTCGCCTCGGCGATAAGGAACAAAAAAAGAGACAAGGCCAGCCCCTGTCAATGGGGGAGCCTTACCACAGGAAAGCTCGGGGGCGACGAGAGACTTCCGTCATTGAATGGAGCTCTGGTGGGGAACATGTTGAGGGCGAACGTGGATTGCACAAGCTGCCGCCACTGTTGATTATTCCCTTTTTTTTTCCCCCTCCCTCCAGGATTCTGTCTTCCAAGCCTTTCTGCTGCTTCGGCATGTAAGTTTCGGCGCATGATCCAATAGAGGAGCGATAATGATGAAAAGATAGTTGGAGATATGCTCATCGACCCGTTGGCATGAGAACCAGCTAATTCAGAGCTTGCAACTGGTGAGTGGCTTTCGTCAGATTCATACGTTCACGACTTCAAAAGTGAGTAGTGCCCGCTGGTCCAAGAACTGGCCGTTGCCTGTAGTCGCCTGAAGGGCGGTAAAGAGCTATTGATGAGATGTCCCAAGCGGCAGTGTGATGGGCGGCTGCAGGTACAAAGCCATAGCCGCAAGTACGGTGAGACAGAAACTACGGAGAAAAGGGAACGTGAAAGTCCAAGGACCCAAAGGCTCACGGCGCTCGATGATGGTCGAAACGTCTTTCGATTGCGTCGTAACTCGCCTGGGAGCCGAGCGCCGACATTGATGTACGAGACTTTGCCACCGTTAGTAGATCTGGGGACAGCGTCGGAATAAGAAGCGATCCTCAGTCTGGGAATGATGATCGAGACGACATGGTTGATGCAAAGTGCGTGAACATGTCTGGTGCGATTTCTTACATAGTACATAGAGAATGGCAGGTCTTGATTTCAGCCCTGGAGACACATTGGAGTCGTGGGATCTGGAGGTAGAGTGTGGAGCTGATTTCCTAATAGGGAATGGTTGATTCCAGCCGCCCATCCGCCCCGCCCCAGCGGCGGCCACATGGCAGGGGCAAGCCCTGCTTCCGCCAATGAACGGGCCGTCATTTTGAAAAGCGTTGGGGAACTTGTTGGGAGCCGGGACATTTTTTTCGGACCACATCTCGTGCGTGCTTACCAGCCTAGTCGCCCATTGCAGATTGACAACCTCAAGGCACTTTGCGGCATAGCGAACAAACCCCAGAGCTTGCGGGACAGACAGGGTGTCGTAAAAAGCCAACCGAAAGTGTGACCTGATCTGGAGCCTTTCATCGTCCTATCCTCGGCTGTGCGGAGTGTTCCTATGCGTTGGCAGGTTCCGAATTTGCTTCTGATTATCGACTGTCAGGCTGTTCATGGCATGTTTCTTCCTGTTCGCGTCGATATTGATGACATTGGATCGGTTTTTGTTGGTCCAAAGTTCAATTTGAAGGGCTCGTCTACGGGATCTGAATAGGAGTTGGATCTCTCCAGGCCTCAATCCCAACGAAGAAAGATACGTCTTTAATGGATGACGATGCTCTGCAAGTGGGCGTGAGGTTAGGATGTAAGCTGTTGGATATCCAAAAGTCAGGCCAGAGGCGGACAGACGGAGGAATTGCGAGAATTCGAGTATCCAAGTCTCGAGGTCTATGAATCACAAGGTAGTCGTAACGCACACCGATCGTTTATCGCTTACAACTTGCAGACTCGCAGAGTAAGTGTAACTGGGTGGTTCGTATGCCGATTTGGTAATCATTGTGTGTAGCTACTACCCAAAGCCAGGGAAAATACCTGCTTATGCATGGCTGTTTATTGTGATAGATGTAAGGCAAGGAGAAGGTCACTTCCTGTTCTGGCCAGTTTGCACAACACACACTCATTGGTACATCGGCAAGGGGGACATGGTCTTTGCCCATCCCCAGCTTGGAAGCGAAGTACCTTTCACCTTCTTACTTGTGGCAGGAAGGAGGCACTGGGGAAAAGTACATTTCTCTTGTTCCTGCCCTGCCTACCTGCTTTCTTTGCCTCGTCGTGAAGCGCAGTCTGGTGCCTTCTCTGCAAGGTGTCGGAAGAGAATGGAAGGTACGAAGTACTGATTAGAGCCTTCAGTGTTCCTGCCACTCGGATACACGCGTCGTCCGGTACATCTCGGGAAGAAGGCAGGACAACGAATCCTGTTAGCGGGTCTCGCGAGGAAGCTTCTTCTTCCCTCTTCCCATCTGCCCATTTTCCCGCCTGCGAATCCCGGGCCCAGATCGAGAGGGTCCCGCCCTTCCCTCCCATCCAGCCAGCGGTCTGGCGTGCCAGCAAAGACGAAAAAAAGTCAAGTCTAACCCCACGGCCCACGAAACCCATCTGTCTTTGCATTTTTTCGGCTGATTGTGACTTGACCTGGGTCTAAACTAACTGATCTGATTCACTGACCCCCCCCCCCCCCACCACCATCCCACCCTTTCCACTCTCTCGTTTGCTGGGATTTCGAACCTGGTGGGTGGCGGACACCTCGCCCAAAGGTACCCCGGCCTCCGTACCTGTTCCCTCCTTACTGGGGCCCTTTCAACCTATCCTTTTCTCTTTATATAATTCACAACTCTTCACCCACCCCTTCCACTTTGCTATTTCTCTTCCAGACTTCTTCTTCCCTCGAGAGTCCATTGCCCACTTGGACTTCTAATCAGCAAGTCTGATTGCAAACGTTGCTTCTTCACCAAGCACGTTGGAGTTGTCTCCTAACAGACACTTCGGATTACTCGTTTTCCGACCACAACCTCCGATTCGCATTTGTAGCCTACTGGCTTCGGTCTTCAAGATGTCGGCGACGACTTCATCTTCCGACGCAAAGGTCACCAAGGCCGAGAACTTCCCCGATGGAACTTCCGACTACGTTCCTACCCGTGCCAAGGCCTACGATATCAAGAAGCCTCACATGTACGTTGGTAGTTTCCCCAACAAAACCAAGTTGATATGGCAACTAACATTCAGAATAGTTCAACCCAGCCAATCACCGCGAGCAACTGGTACAAGCATGTCAACTGGCTCAACACGACCTTCATCCTGATTGTTCCCTTGATTGGATTCATCTGCTCCTACTGGATTCCGCTTACATGGAAGACCGCTGTCTTCGCCGTTGTCTACTACTTCAACACCGGTCTCGGTATCACCGCTGGCTATCACCGTCTGTGGGCTCACCGTTCCTACAAGGCCAGCCTTCCTCTCAGAATCTACCTCGCCGCTGTCGGCGCCGGTGCCGTTGAGGGTTCCATCCGATGGTGGTCTCACGGACACCGTGCTCACCACCGCTACACCGATACCGACAAGGACCCGTACTCCGTTCGCAAGGGCCTTCTGTACAGCCACATCGGCTGGATGGTCATGAAGCAGGACCCCAAGCGTATGGGCCGTACCGATATCTCCGATCTCAACGAGGACCCCGTCGTCATGTGGCAGCACGTTCACTTCATCAAGTGCGTCCTCGCCATGGGTGTTATCTTCCCCACAGTCTTCTGCGGCCTTGGGTGGGGCGACTGGCTCGGCGGCTACGTCTACGGTGGAATTCTTCGCATCTTCGTTGTTCAGCAGGCTACCTTCTGCGTCAACTCCCTGGCTCACTGGCTCGGTGATCAGCCCTTCGATGATCGCAACTCACCTCGTGATCACGTCATCACTGCCCTCGTCACCCTTGGTGAGGGATACCACAACTTCCACCACGAGTTCCCGTCCGACTACCGCAACGCCATCCAGTGGTGGCAGTACGACCCCACTAAGTGGTGCATTTGGACCTGGAAGCAGCTCGGCCTCGCTACCGATCTCAAGCAATTCCGTCAGAATGAGATCGAGAAGGGCCGTGTCCAGCAGCTGCAGAAGAAGCTTGACCAGAAGCGCGCGAAGCTCGACTGGGGTGTCCCCCTGGAGCAGCTGCCTGTCATCGACTGGGACGACTTCAAGGCACAGGCTAAGAACGGTAGAGGTCTCGTTGCCATTGCTGGTGTTATTCACGACGTGACCGACTTCATCCAAGAGCACCCCGGTGGCAAGGCTCTTATTTCGTCCGCCCTCGGCAAGGACGCCACTGCCATCTTCAACGGTGGTGTCTACCTCCACTCGAACGCCGCTCACAACCTGCTCTCTACCATGCGTGTTGGTGTTCTCCGTGGCGGTTGCGAGGTTGAGATCTGGAAGCGTGCCCAATACGAGAACAAGGACATGACCACCGTCACTGACTCGAGTGGCGAGCGTATCGTTCGTGCGGGAGATCAGCTGACTCGTGTTGCTGTCCCCGTTGCCAGCGCCGACGCTGCATGAACGAGATGATGGATGAGACAGTTTAATGACTTTGGGAGGCTTGTTTAAAACAAACAAATCGAGGCGGGTGATGTGGGAGCGCTTGACTTCCACTTCAACAGATTGGTGGACACGAGCTGGCCATATGGTTGGGTCTGTTGAAACCATCGTCATCACGGCATATCCAAGCCGTTTTAGGGTGACACGCCTTTGACACTTCACCTTCGGCTGAAGGTGAGAGCAATTGCCAACCTCACACTTATGGGACATTTTTAGGCGTTTGCGGGGTTGGGCATTGCAACAGGGCGTTCACTATAACAGTAATGAGAAACTGTTTAGACTAGAAAAAGGAAAGCCCATCAAAAGGGCGAGAATGACAATAACAACCTTCACTTCAAACAAACTTGTGCTTGCCAACACCTATGATCAACTTGACATTTTGATTTGGGCTCGAGCAATACCTTCACAAAGCTGACTACTAACGACTCAGATCAACCAGCCTAGAACAAGAGAGTTGTCAATAACGCGGCCATGGTTGCTCTAGGCTTAACTCATCCTAATCACATCTCTACTCACCGTGCCACGTTGGAAGAAGCTAATCAGTATTCTCCCATATACACTGGTTGATACCATCAGGTAAGCCAGGAACATGCATCGCTTTCATACATGATACAGCCCAGAAGCCGCAATCACATGCTTTTTCTCCCCCCCCCCCCTTCCTTGTTCGTTCTCTAATTTGTACGCTTCCAAACATCTACCGAGCCCGTCTTGCATGAGTTGAACTTTTTTCCGTTGTCATCTCTCTTTTGACCTATCGACACCGCCAGAAGTGTAGACGCACTAAGCGG